TCGCCTTCGGGCGACGCGCTGATTTCAAAAACGTTTCACCTTATGTGCACGTTGCGAGAACAACGTTGCTGAACGCTACTTTTGGAGAAGGACCATCACCAGGCCCAGCACAGGGGGATGCTGACCTACCACTGCCGAACCGCAGGAGCATCCCAGTATGCTGTCAGTACAGTATCCTTAATCACCCTAATCCACACCCAGGCCAGCCTTAGATTATTGAAATACCTTCTCTTCTTTTTTGTACTAAATTTTCATTTCTACACACCTGTTAACAAAACATTACTGTTCCTGACAGCCTCGTACTATTCAGTTGCAAATACCACTTATGCAAACATTTATTTTCAGACATTTTAAGAGCTTGAAGTAGGGATCATCTTCCTCCACCTTACTACATACTGAAGCTCACAAGTCTTAGGTGATAGCTAAGTTTTTTGTTTTCATAACCCAAGACTAGCAGGAGTGCTGCTCTTGTCAAATACAGGATCAACCCCTGATCAAAGAAGCCTTTCTGCATTAAGAGTGCCATCAAAGTCTGAGTTGTGTGTGTGTGTGTTTTTTTTGGTTTTTTTGTTTTTTTTTTGTTTTTTTTAAAAGAAACAGGACAGTAGCTCTTATCCTTCCACACAGAGGCCCTGGTACTACAGTTTATTCTGTACTGAATGTTAAAAAAGTTACTGCAGCAAACAGCTCTGAACTGAAACCACTAACAGTGCATGTCCTTGAGTGCTCCTGACAGGTCCTCACTGAAAGGAAAGAAACAAACACACCACCACCCACCATGGGCAAAATGATGCCCATACACCGCATCTGAAAGGACTCCAACAAAGAAAAACAGAACAAAGGGTGCTTACCCAATAAGAAATGTTGGTTTTTTTTTAATAGTTGAACAGTAAGTATATAATGACAAGTAGCTCTAAAATAGTGGATGAAACCATATAAAAAGGTTTTATTGCAGTTTTAAAGAAGTTAGAGGAATTTTAGACATACATAGTTTCAAACTGTCAAGATCAGTTTTTCTCCAATTAAGACAACTGAAGGCAATCTCTTTAATCTAGTATAAACAGCACAAGGCTATTCTGATGAAACAAAGTAGAAAAAAACACTAAGTTCACAAATGTAAGTCACATTGAAGCAGAAGAGAAGGCAGCTTTTTGTCAGCATTTAGCTGAAATTCAGTGGTTTAACCATAACCATCACAAAAAATATGCATCTAAATAATTTGGAAGAACTATTAGAAAAATACAGCTAAGTTTTCACCTGTTATCTCTTGCTAAGCTAAAGACATTTTAAATCTGATTCTTAAGAGTTTTGAGTTCCAAAGTCTGAAAATAAGCTAAACTATTCTTTTTTCCCAGCCGGAAAACACTGCAGTTCTTCCTTATTTTCTTTATGTAAAGTAATCTAGTGTTACTTCTCAAATAGACTGTGAAGCGAGAAGATAAAGAAGTTGTCTCAGAAGTTGTCTCCTTCCCTCCATAAGCAGTTGGAAGACTGGTTTCAATGACATATGGCTAATTCTAGGTTGTGCAAAGATAAAACTTCACATTCATTTTGATAAAAATGAGACCTTTATTTTTCATAATTTCAGGTGATCATAGTATTCTAAGCCAAGTTTAGATTTTATGTGATTAAATGTATGTTTCTACTTAATAAGTTTTTGCAACATTAAAGTCAGGGTTTTTCCAATTAATATTAGAACCAAAAAGCCTTTTTTAAAAGCACAGAAAGTAATATAACTGAATATTTTGTAATATTCTCTATACCCCTAGTAACTACATATACACACTTCAGTACTATAAGGCTTCTCTCAGAAGTGCTTCCTCCCCAATTCCAGTAGCTGTTTAAGAATAAGTACCTTTATTTACTTAGGAACATAAACAAAATCTATTCCTCAAACTGTTTTGCCCTACATTGAGTAATCAAGGAATTTGCTGATTCTATTCTGAACAAAAAAGCACACCCATGAAACAAGGAAACAAAACACCATCACCAGAACAAAGTTTACCATTAGAGTTCAAATTCAAATTAACTCATTTTTCTTTGAAGATAACCAAGTTACAAAATTAGGGCCCAAGCCAAAACATGAACATTTTAATTAACAAAGTAAACTCAAACAATGTATATTCTGTACTCAAACTTGAATCTTATCAGCACTTACACTGTTGACCAATTATACATAATTTAGTTTCCTCCCATCATCTTCAAGTATGGGCTGAGTTTTTGTATGCTTTATTTCAGTTTGTAGGCAATTCTGGATTTGTATTTCCATAGGCACTTTATTCAAAAAATACCGTCACTGAATATATTCAAAGTACTTGACAGTTCTCTGAGTAAGACTAGCACACTTACAAACCTGCTTCTCTAACTCATAGTAGATGCAATTAAAAAAAAAAAACACATACTCCATCATCCTCTAGTCAAAGTATGTGTCACATGCTCATAAACACTTTTTAAAGCATTTACACATGCAGCCATTTATTTCTGTTAATATCATGCTTTTTGGTAAATAAAAAAGATAATCAATTTTCCCTGAAGGATGCATTAATTAAAATGCAAAGAAACTTATTTTGCTGTGGCTTAACTGTGCAATGGATGATGTTGTTCTGTCTTTGACTCTTCCAAATTTCTTCCTCTTAAAAGAGGTTCTAAAGGAAGTAGTTAGGCATGTGATTCAGATTACTGTTATTAGATTATCCATCTTCCCTCAATAAAAACCCAACCAGCAATGCTTCTTAGGTAGTGAATTTGTTTTAAACAAAGTGATTCTAAACCTGGAATGTTCTTTGCACACAAACAGGAGTTCCATAAAATAGACCTTAAAGGAGCCTGTTTATTTCTCAAAATACTACATGCAAATGATTCAAGAGAAATTATTCCAGTATTTGAAAAATAGTAGTTTACTGGTTGAAAGCCCAAGGTGTGACTACTTCAGAGCAGATGTGTAGCAAGTTTCCAGATGGTAGTCTTGTACATACAGCCTGCTAGCCAATGTGTATAATGTGTATGTGCACATGTCAACCAATCTGCATATTCAAGTGTCCTGAAGTGGAAAGATTCCCTTAACCCAAATAGAAGCATCATACTTTTGAGTTCACTATGGCAGGATTTCCAAACGTTACAAGCAGACTTAGTTTTTACAACTCTAAGTTGAAAAGTACGGGACATTTAACAGCAACTAAAGGCTTCGTATCCTCCTGGAGATAAGATGTACTTACTACTGCTAATACTGCTGCCTTGAAAACATACCTATTTTAACATGATTGCAAAGATCCCTCTTTTAAAAATACTAGGAAGTGCAGTGCACTTCATTACATGCAGCATAACAAAACAATGACTAAAAGGGGAAAAATTTTCTACCACAGAACACACAAAACAGTTTTTCTTCTGAGGGGTGCTTGTGAAGCTTAAAACAGAAAATTAGTGACTTTTCTGTTCCATAATCTAAACAATCTTAGTTTAAGACACTTCCCACAAATTTATGTCCTAGAAGATTCAGTTCTGGAAAGAACATCCACAATTAGATCTCAAATAAGGTATCTGTTCAGCTTCGCTAAAAAAATAAAAGGTAATTTAGGGGGAAAAAATTAGCATAACTACCAAGGCATTTTTTAATAATGAGTCAGTGTCCCACTGCAATTGCCTTCCTGTTTAGTTTCTCTTCTGCTATTTAGATATGGTTACTGGATTATCTTCCTTCACAAGTCTTTTTCAAGACTTTCAGCAAAAACGGAACTACACTGGACAAAGTGTTTTTTCTATTACAATTTTGTCCATCTCACATCCTCTTTCTCTGGCCTCAATAATGATGATGAAGCCAGATAATTTTGTGCCCCTCCCCCAGTATCTTATGCCTTAATCCTACCTAAGGTCATTCTTATATTTCAGACCAAATTGCAAAGGCTTAGCTGTCCTCCAATATTTTTTTATTTTTTTAATGTGCTTAGGAAGGTCTAGTTTAACTTAAAAACCCATATACACTCCTATTTTTCCTGCATTAAAAATACTTACTATAATATTTTGCAGTTTTTATATAAAACAGAAAACCTAAGGGATGTGTTCATATAAAAAGCATTTAAAACAGGCTTAAAATGTAGCAAAGTCTTGCTTTATTGAAAAGGTGTCACAAAAAACTGCTCAGTGTTAAAGGGTGAGAAAAGAACAACAGCTCTGGAGATTATTAGCACCATATATGGATATAGGTTTTTGATTTGTAAAAATGTGTGGCCCTGTAAGTTGACCAAAGTATTGCATTTGTTTAGTCCACAGGCTGACAAAGTTTCAGCTTTCATGTGCCAGTTGAGTAAGCCACATAGGATGAGTTTCTTTGATATGCTTTTACTAAACGCATGGTCAACAGTGCAAGGGATCAAGATAGCACCTTCTGAGATATAAGCTTATACGATGCTCATGTTATTGCACAAGTTTTTTTTTCCTTTAAGTACAGCTAGTGCAAGTATTTTGCTTTTTAAACAGTTGAACATAGACTGCAGCATCTAGGAAATCACTGCTCTAGCATCTCAAGACATACAGCCAACCACAAAACTGAGTTGTCATTCACTTAACCAAAATATCTGACACATACTAGAAAGTATCATAATATCCTGAAAGTTGTGCAACATAATAGTATGCTCTTATTAATTCAGAACATTCTACAGAAAAAGAAGGCCTAGTTTGCAAACACTAGTAGAAGGTGCAGCACAAGAGGTCTCACTTAAGCAGTACTATGGATTACTGTAGTTTTATACCATACAGTGTTTGCAGAATTGGACCCTAAACCTGTAAAAATATATATACACATATAAAAACTTACCATGCAAGCATAGTAGCATTAGCATAGCATATTACAATCCATGGTTCCTCATCATCATGAAACAGCTTTTCTTGAATAATTTTTCCTAGGTTGGAGCCATATCTCCAATTAATGTACAGAAGCACAAAAACAGTATTGCATTCAGAAGTGACGATCTGCATTGTTTTTACAGAAGTCTTTAGATTCCTCCTCAAAGTCACATGAAAGCAGTGAGAACTGCAGCTAACAAATCAGTATTTCCTGTTTTGCTTCCAGGTTCCTTGGTGTGACCCCAACCTTGCAAAACAGCCAGACTTTGTCATATCTCACACAAGCTCGCTCGAATTAAAATAAATACTAACAACATACTAACATTTACAGAGCAAGAATTTCTCAAAGCAACTGATTCCTGACATATGAAGTATATTCCAGGTGCTAGAGATTTTGTACTTGAAAATAGTTCCAGGTTTCAAAATGTGTTCGACTAGAACATCTCTGCCTTGAGAGCGCCGAAAAATTGACACTAGGTCACATGCTCTTTTGCATCAAGCTATTTAGGAGGCAGTTAATGGAAGCAGATGAAAAAAGGAGTCCAAAGCAGCCCAAGTTAAAATACACATGCAGCGTTTTGAGTGGCTGCAACTATGGAAGAAGTGGAATGCAAAACCAGCATTTACAAGAGTAAAAAGATACAGATAACAAGTTATCCAAAATGACAAGAGAGTTGAAGTAAGCTCAACAATATCCTTGAAGGTCCATACACTAACTTCACTAGTAGAAGTACCACAAATGCAAAGGAAAATTCATCTTTCTGCTTAGTCTCAGTATTCCTACCACCTCTAATTAAGAGGAAAAGAAAAAAGGGGGGGGGGGAATCCACTTATTTTAAGTGCTAATTGCATGCTTGAAGTGTAGTATCAACTTACTATACTCTTGAATTAGGACAGAGCTCTCAGATGATTAGTTTAACCATTGCCTGCATCTTACAAATAAGAATCTACTAGAAGAACTGAAGTGATCTTCAATACACTTTCTAGCTACTGCCATCTTTGGCACTGGACCCTCAATCTGAAGAGCTCCCAACAAGATAAGGAAAGATGGAACAGCTTGCTATATAGGTACCACCTACTTTATCCTTCTATACAGTGAAGTCCGCACATTGCGTCCAATATAGTGTTATGTAATGGAAACCCCTAACACACACAGTACTTGGTCCTCAACCGCTCAGGATGCCTCTATTTGAGCTAGTTTGACAACTTCATTTTTTAATCAAAGGCTCAAAAAAGTCCCCTAAACCTCTCAAACATATTTCAAAATAATTGTATTTTATGAAAATTAGTCTGTTGGCACAAATAAGTTTCTCCTGTAATAAGTCTCTGCACTCTTACAAATGCTAGCCACCTAGAGACATTACTATGCAGAATGCAAATACAAAAGTCTGAAGTTAACAGCATATATGCATGGCTTAAAATATATATTTCTGCTAGAAGAAACCCATACAAAGGGACTTGAAAAAGTGAAAGGATTTTTATATTTACTACAGATACAATGGATCTACATTTTTCCTCATTGACATTTACCAAGAGTAAAACCAGTTTTGACCAACCACACAACAAGTAAAGGACAAAAACATTCATTCCTCATCTAGAGGAAGGGCAGGCCCAACCAGTACAGCATCACCACAGTATCATCTGAAAAAGAGCGACCACCAGCAAATAAAGTGACATAATACAACATCTTTGTTCACTATGGTATGGATAAGGCTGTCTGCAGCACACAGCTGAATAGCCATTTGACTTTAGAAAGTCAAAAACTAGCTCTTCCAGAAACTGCTATCTTAGCCTCTCCTATGTGGGTTGGAGCTTTAGGGTAAACATTAGCCTACAGCACATAACCACAGAAAATAACCTTCTTGTACTATTCATTAAATTCCAAGCGCTTAGGAAATCAAGCTTGTACTGAAAACATACCAAGCCTTACTGTGGTGTTTTTTTAAACCAATAGTTATCACCATGAAAAAAAAACAACACATCTTCAGCAACAAGAAGTACTTAAGATTCACACTAGCAACTGATCAACGTCATTACTTCATCTTAAAATATCTTTCAGGCACTTGAGGGGTTTGTTAGGAATAATTATCTACTGAAGGATGAACTTTTTCCAATATTTAAGTTATTTATACCTAGCCTGAAATTCTTACATATTGCATTCCAGGTTAGTACTATTTAAGTTGTAAAAATCTATGGAAACCTCAGCCAGCTAGAACAAATTTTAGTACATTTAAGCATTATAGCAGTTTGTTCTTTCATCAGAAACTGTTAGCGACAGCTTGGAGGAAAAACATACGAAAGCTTGCTCATCACAGTTACATAGTTAAAAATCTGCAAGTATCTCCTAATCTGAGTTTTTCTTATATTGGAGGTTATTCATGAGAATCAATACATTCCACACCAGAGATGCACAGCTATACTGTAGAATGAAGCACTTATTACAGCCTGCTACCTTCCAGCTGTATGTTTTTTGTGGCACTAGCTAGTGCACAGAAACAGTTTAGTTCGACATTACCTGGAAGTTAGTGTAGTTATAGCTCAGTTTGCTGTAAAAAACCAACATACAATCACCATCTGCTTCAGTGTTTCCATCTTCCTTCCTTTCAAGTTCTAAAACAAAACCCTTTAGCCTTCAGTCCTAGCCTCTTAGCAGAATTTTTTCGAAGCATCATGAAAGTAGTTTATAAAGGTTAACTTGTAAACAAAATGACCTTAATGGCATACTGGGACATTCTTACATGCACTTATTCAAATGAACATTGCTGCTTAGTGTTCAACAGAAGTATTCCTTTAAGATCTTCTTTCAGTAACTGATTTTGAGTCACTCATTGATTTTACAGTGCCTGACATAACACTTGAATACAGAAGAGTCCTATCTTACAGTGTCATTCTGATTATGTTCATAGAAGACTTCTAGATAAGTCCAAAACATTTTATATATTTTGAAATAACAATGGAGTTTTACAGCTATGTAATCAGCCAGTAAAACCACCAAATTCTAAGTATTTGCTTAGTACATCTGATTAATTTCAGGGAGTAATTAAAAATTTACACAATCTAAGATGAGCTAGAACCAAGGTCATTTAAGTTACAAAAAAAAAAAAACCAACCATGGGAAAGTTCCTTTTAAATAAAGACAACTTTACCTTGCATGTGCACCAAATAGTTTATACAGGCAGAATAAACTCTTCAACCAGATACGAATGATGGGAGAAACTGAGAGCTCAAACAGACTGAGATTTAAGATACATGTAAGAGTTGCAGTAATCTAAGCAAGAAAATTCTTTCTCATTGCTTAAAATACATCCCAGCTCTGTCTTTTACTGAGCCTTATTTCTCATTTATATGAGAGTAGTATCATCTTTACATATAAAGGCTATTAAATGTTGATTTTTCCTCTCTCATAGAAAAGAGGAGAGAAGGAAACAAATCCAGCAATGTTTATAGTACAGCTTTTTGCTACTATAACTGTACCTGTCTTTCCAAGGAAAGGCAAATGGAGAATGATTAATATTTAATACCATTTACATCCACATGGGAGTGCTAAGCACATACCATGGAAATTTAAGCTTAACATACCCTTGAAACCACTGTAAACTATCTCTGGCATTGGCTATTAAGCATCTATAGTATAACCATGTAGCAGCACATTTCTTTAAGTGTGTAAGTTAACCTTTTAAACTCATTTTTGCATATGAACTTAAGAAACCTTGGATTTAAGTGAGGCATTACAGTGAGTGAGTGAGTGTTGGGGGGAAGGGCTGACTGAGAAGTTCAACATAAATGCTCTTAAGTAGAAATAAGTGTTTTATTTAAAAATCACAGTACAGGTGCAGTTTGACATCTGTAAGTAAGCATTACTACTATAACTCTAAGAAAAATTAGAGTAACATACATACTTGGGCATATACAGCCCAAATAAGAGCCTACACTCAAAACTGACCAGTACATTATTCCTATTTTCTCCTTTTCTTCATTTTATCCATTGTAATCCTTTTCGCTCTTAGCATGAGACCATGTTTTCACCTTCATAAATATTTGAATACAACAATCAATATGTTCTTTTAATCAATAGCTTTTGTGTGACAGCTGTGGTTTGTAACAGCTAGACTACTATGGAAGCATTAGAAAATGGCATTACTTACCCCATTTCATCACCTTCCACACAAGCTTTAAACGTCTTCAAACTATACTACTTAAGTCAGCAAGAGCAAACTAAAGCTTGTTGACATAGTGGAAAAGTATGACTTTCTTTTTGGTCACAAACATACCCAACATACACCTACCCCCCTTTGAGGTCTTCGATACAATGGAGAAAGTTTAAGCACTTAAAGCAGGGCTGAGCCAGAACAAGAATTAAATTGTTTGAGCCAAGGCTGATGTTTAAACTACAATAGAAGTTTCTACCAAGTTTAGCAGTAAAATGAAAGCTCACACTGTCTAACAGGAGCAAAACATTTACTTGGTTCTACCTCATTATCATACTTTCTTCCAGAAATCAGAACTTAAAGTGTTAAAAATCCTGAATGAGGAAACTGTACTTTACTGATAGATCACAAAAATCCCACTGAGACACAGCAATGGTTATTTAGCTAATTAAATATCTAGGCTATCAAAGTATTTATTACTTAGCCATCAGGTGAAGATAATTGTTTCAGATCTTTACTGGAATGATTTTCATCGTGTTAATTCAAGGCATGCTTACCACTACTGAAATTCATCCATGATTTTTAAAAGATAGCATTACTAGGGGTGGCTTAATATGACCATGTTTAAGATAAAAGGCCTAGAATTCAGCTTTAAAAAAAATATTATGCTCTATGAAGTTGTATTGATACAACAAGCGTTTTGGGAGGTCTATAGACCAACACTGTACCAATTCATTTACGAAAGCAGTTTTTCCTGAATCTTATAAGTGTTCTGAGATTGGCTTTTTAAACTGCTCAAATTCTGCCAGGAACAGCCAAATGAGAACATGAATATGTCTCTACACAACTTCTAGGGGCATTTTAAAAAATAAAGATTTCTATATAGAGAGAAGCTCACTTTAAAAAACAAAACCAAACATCAGCAGAACTACTTTCTTTTCTAAGTTTTACCAAGGATGTTTTGTAAGGAACATTGTTTATTGTATTATACTTGATAACGCACAAAAATGTTTGAAATGCACATTAATAGTCTCTTGTACAACTTTAGGAATTGATCCTTTTAACTGAAAAAAATCATATTTGAATACTATATTGCATTTTATTACTTTAACTGGATTCTTTTTAAAAACAAGCTGTCATTAATTAAACTATGTTCACACTTGCCACTCAGTTCAAGACATTTTAAAAATAAGCAGCATTTTCTTAATATTAGTTCTTTATGCAGTTTTCCCTCTGCTAGCAGATTTTACTGAAGATTTGGAAATAAAATGAGTAACTGTAGAAATGAATACAGAACATAAACAGTTGAACATGGTATGCTAATTTTCTACTTCACTTCCCAACAATACAAAACAATAAAAACCAACAAGAACCAGGTAGCTGTTAATCTGCATTTTTGTTACATGCTTACACCATGGTAGCTTCCTACATTCTCAAACAACATGCTTATATAGCCATTCTAGTTGGACTAAAACTCTGGGAAAGAGCAATTTGCATGTGAGTTAAACCACAGTGCCATTTAATATGAAATGGTTTCAGGTAATAATTAAAGAAATGCTACTGTTCACCTTGGCACATTTTTTAAAATAAATCACAGAAGTGTGTGCCAAGAGGTTTGGGGGAAGGGGGGGGGAAGGGGAAAAAATAAAAAATAAATCTATGCAGAACCATGGATCCCAAGCACACTTGCAACAGTTTCAGCTAGAGAAAGTTACTAAAATTAAGGGGGAGTGTAGAAAAAAGACCCATTTAGGACCTGGCCTTGCATTCCTCAAGCAGGTGAAATCTACAGGACTTGCCTGAATTAAGAACAGTCCAAACACTCTTTTCAGTTAAGTAGTTTGTTTAATGTGTTTAACTACACAGCAGTGTATGCATTTGGTGTGCATATGTATACATACACCAATAGGCACTGTATAGCTATACACAAGCCCAAATTGCAATTAGAGATTTAGACTTTGAAAGTATATCCTTTTTAAAAATAAAATTTTAGGCTCCTTGAGCTCTGATGTTAGCAGCTATTCCTAATTTGCAAAGTCACCAGGTAGCACAGCAGTTTAAATATAAAATTATTAATAAAAATGTAAAAATTGGTATATAATAGACTACATGGAGATAGTGGTGGTAGTAGTATTTTAGGGTCATAGAATATTCATTCCGATAAGTGTAAAAAAAAAAAAAGGTCAGGGCTCGCTTCCAGCAGTACCAGTCATGCAAGGTCTTACCTTCATTAGCAAGAATAATGCAACAAAACATTTCCCACCATTGTGTTATTTTCTGTATACCTCAATACACAGATATTGTGCCTTTAACATTTTTTTGCCCTTATACTCCAGAACCCTGAAGATGAGATTTTTGGGTGCTCTTGTGGATGAGTGACCGTTAGTAATGAAAGTGTTGTGTTCTTTGGCACCTCTATCTCATTTGTAAAGCAAAGTCCTGCTCCATTTTTTTCTTTAAGGAAAAAATCCCAGCAGTGGTGCATTCTATTAGCACTGAAGAGAAGAATAGGCCTGTACAGTGTGATGGATAAGAAAACATGAAATAGCAATATATTTGTCTACAATTGTCTTTCCAATCAATTGCACAGAAGTTTGGTCCACTTCTTCAGTTACAGTGTAGTCCTCTTAAGAGCTTTGGTTACAGCATTAGTGTTTTGGTAAAAAACAGAGCAGATGCTTTCCCTTCTCTTCTTCAGGTAGATTTTTCATTGTCCTCTCCTGTCTTCTGAACCCGTGAATACTTTTTGCATGAAGATTTGAAGCAGCTGGGAGGCCAAGATATCGGCCAGGAGAAGCTGCAAGGAACAGAGCCTTGCACATTCTTCTCAAAGAAATAAAATATTGGATACCACCATGCTCGAGAGAGAAAGTTTGTCTGTGAAGATACCTTTAAAGTCTGTATTGGCACAAGCCAGTAAGGAGGAAAAGGAAACAAAGACAAGATCAGTTTAAAGCATTATAATCAGTTAAGTTGAGGCATAAGGATGACTAACAGTTGCAATATATTTGAATGTGCTTATGCAGAGAACAGGTATATTTAGCCTGAAAAACCTGGTAACACTGAAAGAAAGCATATCATAGTCCAAATGTATGCTAATAACTGAGCATCTTTAACCCAATTAAGGGGATACGGTGGAACTACGTAGTCTAGAGAGGCAAAGCACCCAAGTATTTTTGAATGCAAGTATCATGTTTCTGCCGATGACTACCAATTGAAAACTAGGTTAAAGCAGCTTGAGAGCTGACATTCTGTGTTCCTACTCAGAAGCGTACTTGAACCAGTACACTTGCACCTTCTGAACAGGTACTTTTAGTGACACTTAAGGCAGAACTGCCAATGGCATTTTTGGTAATTTAAGTTGGATAGAAATTTTATTACTCAATTACTGTTTTATTCACAATATGAGATAGTTGAGGTCTATTCTCTACATTAGAACAGCAATAAAACATTAAAGCATTTTAATGCCAAAATGCAGGCTTTTTTAAACTTAACAGTCCCAAATGAAGAAAGAGCATCTTAAACCATAAAGTCAAACTCCTTGCCCAATTTATTGGAACATTGATATGGAACTTCTGTTTTTATTTCAATTCTAATAACTGATTTTGGTCTTTTTGCAGAACCAACAATGCAGGCTACATATTGATTATAGATATATTCAGCACTCACCTTTTCATTAGCCATTGAGTGGTACCACCAGAAGAGCCGTGTGGTGATATAGTAAGCAATGATGACATCTACAGTGTAGTGTTCATGAGCAACAAGGATACAAACTATGCCAGCAGCACTCATCAGCCAGCAGATTAAGTGATACCACCAGAAGTGACGTGGCGAATCTGTCAAGTTGGGAGGTAAAGAAAATCCACAGTAGGGAGGGGGGAAAAAAAACACAAAGCTGCTAAATTTTAACACACACAGATGAGATCTAATTTTGACAAAAATTAGACAAAGCACTAAGCTAACTTACTGACATCCTCTTATTTTGCAAAGTGAGCCCAAGATGGGTTTGTGGTTAGGTAGATAGCACCATGACCTGTTTTCTAGTCAAATTAGGATTTCCATATACCCTGTGACTTAACTGGAAAAGGGACAGAATTGAGGTAAGATGTACATTTTGGTTATTTTATTGGGTGCTTCGACTCTCTGCTCTTTACAGTCTCTGTGCTCAAGTTAAGTTCTAGACATTTGACTTGAACAGAGGTTATGTAAGCCAAACAGAGATCATATATTAAAAAATTTTTATTCCTAAGTTTTAGCCAGTTTACAGTAAACCTCTGTTCTGTGAAGCAGAATACAGTATATAGGAAAGTAAAGTATTTGGATTTACACCCTTTCATTAAATATCAGCAAATGTGAGTGAAGCTATTCTTCAAGATTCATTTAAGCCACTTCAGCAGCTAAGTCATCCAGCCTCCCCCCTTTTCTTTCCCCATTGAAAAAGTGTCCTGGGTGTCACAATGACCATTCATAACTTCTGGCAGGCTACTGGGCTTCATTTTACTCCCAGTGTGAAGTTTCGCATCCTTTCCCCTCTCGCCCAATGGGCGGTCTTACTTTTCACAGGATACAGGCAGACAAGTTACTGATCTCAGCAAGCCTGCTCAGAAGTAGTTTGAGAGTCAAATTAGTTACTACAAAAGGACTTCAGTTTCAGTGAAAGTCCCAAAACAGTAAACCCTCTCAAGTCTCTCCAAAAATATTACAGACTAGTCCATATCTACTGATTTAAAAAACAAGTCACCTCAAAAAGTCAATAAAACTAGCTGCAAATAAGAATGACACACCAATGCTAGAAATGCAATTCACTGTTCTGGGCAAAGAGCTAGGATGTGAGGAAAGGAAGACAGACCTGCTCTGCACTTCTCTGGATGAACAGTAAATGCAGCAGCAGCAAAGGATTAAACAGAGGAACTGAGCAGAACAAAAAATCCACTAAACCAGTAATGATGGAAAAACTCCACATACATCTCATACTAAAGACAGACTTAAAGAGCAGAAGAGAATGCAACCTCTAATTCAGAACAATTATATATCTTAAGCCCTTGCTTAGAGAACTTCCTGCTAATTATGCAAGAGACAGGAATGGGAGAACTATGTATTTTTCACTTCCAGAGCAGAGATTATAAAGCAGGACTTGGCTGAAATATATGGCAAACACATGGGCAACAATCAGGGAGCTCATTACATGAGTTTGGAAGATACATTCTTCCAACTCCTTATCATTCAATTACTGTAAATTGAGACTTTCCCTGAGACTTTCCCAAAAGATTGGGTTATCTTCATCTTTCCTGGCACTAAAGATACAAAAGAGAATGCGACCAGCATTAAGCTGCTATAACATACACAAAACAAGGCAAACAAGTCTATTAAGCTATTTCCTTAATACTGTTCTGGTAATTCTGATTATTTACATATGCTATTATCCCAGTAACGTTCACCTAACTAGGATCTACACTACAATCAATTATCTTAAGTCAGTATTTAAAGAAGCACATCTTGCATCAGTAGATATTTTCTTTACACACCTAACTGATTACAAATAATGAAGGTTTCAAGTTTAAGTTAAATAGGCTTTTTTTAGTTTAAGGCAGAACATAGCGCTGCAACGCTTCTCTCCCTCAACATTTTAATAAAGGAAGGCGTTCAACTGACACTGGCCAGTCTTATTTTTATTTCAGAGAAATTTACACATTCCCACAAGCCAAGCTAGCAATTGCGTAGTTTGGAATTAGTCTACTCTTACTGGTTGCATCCCAAACATGAGAACTGGAAATGAAACTCCACACTACTGCAGTAATGAACAGTCAAGCTCCAAGGGTAGAAGGGTTGCTTACCATTTATCAGATTTGGAAGTTGAAGTTTTGGAGAACTGAGCACCAAATATTGTGCCTGCAGCACAGATGGATTCCCCCCACCCCATAGCACTACAAAGCAAAGGAGGAACCATGAAACCAATTACATCTTCCATGTGCTTGCCAAACTGTTATCAGCTTAATAGGTGTAAAGAGCAGTCTCTAGCAGAAGATATCCAAGGAGCATGAGTCAGCTTTGTTGTTCAGAGTAACTGATGCAGAGCACCCTTAGAAGAAATAGCACTGCTTCTAGATGTGATACAAGTGTGCAACAGCCCTGTGTTCAAACCACAAAAATCCCAAAACCTAAGGTATGGGAGGCACCCTGCACAGAGCTAGTTTGCATATTTAACTACAGCATCTTTTACCCATAATTTGAATAACCTGTCAATGACTAATGAAAACTTAACTTGCTTCAATTAGTAAGCACAATATATATATAAAAATAGAAGTGAAGTGTCTAGCAACATTAAACCCTTAAAGCCCATACCACTCTTACTATTCCACATTTCATTTTCACTCTACAATCAAAAGCATGATTTTACACTTGTACAGTCCATGTACAGCTGACCAGTAGCCTTTGATACACAAGGGTTTTATGTGCACTTCCCTCTAGTGTTTTTTCCAGTACAAACTTGGACAACAAAAATACATTTAAATACCATAACTTACACTCTTTGATGAATAAGTAGATGAGTGTTAGTACCACAGTGTGACCACTAAACAGGAAGTCTCCACACAGGATGTGCGATCCAGTTATGGATAGACCACCACCAGAAATCAGTCGCAGGATCCTCTGCACCTTTGCCTGAGAATCTCCATTCAACTGTAACACCACAAAAAAGTGCAAGAAAATTTGGATGCACTACGTGATTTGAATACATTTTGCCCAAATATACATGGAGTTGAGGAGACAGAAAGAAAAGGAGACACTTACCTTTATTTTCTTTTGTTTTCTTCCATACATATCTCAGACAAGTAGCATACGTACTTATAAAGTTGACAGCTACTGAAGATCAGCTTGGTAACGCCTTAACATGCTATCTGCTTTCCTAGGTTATTTTGCATTTAAATCTACCCTTTTTTTTAAAAATAGGCATTATATCAGAATAAGATAAGAATATAACAGAAGGTTAAACAACATAGATGTTGCTTGTAATATCAGGTGTTGCACAATGGTCACTAATGGAATGGATAAAGACCATTCAACAGTGGTTCCAATAGTACAGCCTTGTATACCAGCTCTGTCATTCTATTCAGAGTTGAACAACGTTTCTACAAGACAAAAGTCTTAAGCTTGTTTAATTTTACTTTTGATTACAAACTCAAGTCATGATTCCTTTACAGGAATTCTTTGGTTTTTAAACATGCATTAGAATCAGTTTGATTCCTTCAGTTATTAGGCAAACTGCCAGCTGCACCCTAGCTGTTCTATTTTTTCCAAAGAGTTAATTCTGGTTAGAGGGATAAGTTTTCTAGAATCAGAAAGAAAATAGTCACAAGACAAAACTCAGAAACTATCAAGTTTTCCCATAGCTGTAGTACGCACTTCTAACATTCTTACAGGGTAATTCACCTTGTTTTGATACCAGTAACATAAATGCATTTTCAAAAAAAGCTTAGCTTTGCTTCTCTCCCCCATACGAAGTCTACTACAGGTAAAGTAGACCAACAACAGTTTAGGCTTTACAATAATGATCTGTAAATAAAGCTTTTTCAAATAGATGCTGATTCAGAAGAAAGGAACATAGTGGCTAGATTAATTTGTCCCAAATCTGAAAGAATAGAACAAATACAATTCCATACCTCATGACTGATGAGACCCTACCCGAGTAGTGACAAATTTATCCCCTGAATTAACCAGCAACAGTTTTAGGCTTCAAAAATGTCTGTCTTCTCAGTGCATAACCAACGTGTTTGTCCTCAAATACTGTTTTTTTTTTTTTCCCCAGTGTAGCTGCCATGATAGTATTTGCTCTACATTTATTGTGAGGAAAAGCTCAAAGCATCACATGCCTACAGCTTTTTTAGTTATCTAAACCAATAAGTAGTGACAATAAGGAATTTTGTTAACTGCACCAATAGATTTTTAAATATGATTGTACAAACATCAGTTATTTAAGTGTATGTTTCTCTGTAGAAACATACACACACTTACTAAATTTTTAGTCACATGTATATACATTTTTTAGGTTTTTGGCAGGGATAGGCAGCTGACCTAAGGTCTTCAGACAGCTCTTGACAAGTCTGTCACTGAGAACTGAGAAACAGGACAAAGCACGTGATAACCAACCCTCTCCCTTAAAACATATATTATACATACACAGGAAGTCAGTTCACTAATTTGGTAACAGTACCATTTCAATGTATATACTCTGCTTTAAAGTACGTTAACTGCAACACCACCTTGAAGTTGTTACTGTTCCATGCAACTTTTGGTTCCATGAGATCATCTCTACATTTCTGAAGATGTCAATAGAAAACTATTTTTGTTATTAATTAATGTCTGGAATGCATCTCATTTGTTCTAAGGAACCATAAGGACTCAGACAGAGACTAAGACCAGTATCATGAAGTGAAGGTTCTTACCTTTGGTGCACACTGAAAATGCATTCCAGGCACAGGTAAGGTGGTAACATACATCGTAATACAGCGGTACAGGTACAAAGTTCCTATTATAAAAAAGAACCTGCGTCCCACTATTGACCTGAAAAGTAAGGAGGTGGGGGAAGAAAGTTCATATGCAGGATACATGTAAAGTTAAGCTCCAGATTACACTAGATGGCTAAATCTCTAGAATTAAAGAGCTCCATCCCTTGATTCTCGCCACACACTTGGCTAAATCAAATACAGTAAGTAGTATATTAAGACACATTCCTTGCAAATAATTTCTTCAGGTTTTGGTCTTACTAGATCATGTCAGATTGATGACATAACCGCTACAAAGTTTCCTCCGCACCTAAGTTAGCTTGGCCTCAAGTCTAATTTAGGTGTACAGTTTAGGTGTGCTGTCAGGTACAATAATCATTTTGCTCAGTTCAGTGATCTTCTCATTTCAATCATACATTATACACAAGCAGACAATTCTAAAGTATCTATTTTTAAGCAAATTGAGAAAACAAGGGAAAAAGTTTTAGTTTAGTTCTAGGGACTGTGGGGTTTATTTTGTTGGCGATCCTCCCCCTCCTCCACACACACAGCACCAGGATTTCCTGTTTAAACATAGACACTTCAATAAAACTAACATACTCAGGAAAGCACAATCCCAGAATAAATTTGACTAGTAAATGTAAGTGTCAGAAATTCAGATTAAAAACCTCTTCAGTAAGTAGGGGGAAAACTCATGTTTGCATATCCAGTGCAGACACTGCAACATTTTCTAAATAAGTCATCCCTTTGTCATTTTCCTACCAACCCTGCTCTACCATATTACTACAGATTCTATCATAAGATTTCTTTTGAACAATATGGAATTACTTCTTTTCATTGCAAGTCATGCTGAGGCTATGCAAGTTAGGTGCTACCCACAGTAAACAAGCAAAACCAACATTTTCAAAGCATGCAGAGAAAAAAAAAATATAGCTACTTACTTATATCTAAGAAACAGCCACTGGAATATCCATAATCCAACTAGTATCATTCCATTTATTTCTGATACAGAAAAAGCCCATTTCACACGATCAATATAATCAAAAAATTTGTCAGGCAAGGGAGGGCTAAGCTCCTTTGGAGGTACTCTCTCATGGACCACAGTGATCATGACAGTTGTTAGAATCAAATTGAAGAGAGCATAGACAAAGGCAATGCCTGTTTTCCACCATTCCAGAGGAAATTTGTTCCGAGATTCAGCAGGCATAGCAATTTGGATGTAGTCAGGATACTTCTTTGTGCTTTTGCGCAAGCCATTGGACAAACCCTTTGGTTTGCTATTGCCATTTTTGGTCTCTTCACTAATAGAGAGAGTAGGTCGTGCGTAGCCATTTGAAGTGTCATTGTTTTGACCCTCCATATGCTCTTCAAGCTTTGCCGTCTCAATGGTATTCATTCCTAAGCTGTTTGGCCAAACCACGTTTACTATTTACCAATATCCAGGCTCTCTTTAAAGTCTCACTCCTTGAAGTCCAATGTACTTGTTTCTAGATGATTTTTGATTTCTGGTAAAATCCTTAAGTGTTCATCGTGCTTTTGCTATTCAGATACTGTAAAGCAAACCCTGGAGACAGGTCTTTCTTCCCCCTAGAGCTGTATTGGCAAAAAAAAAAAAGAGTACTGAAGACCCATACAACTGGTAATATACCATGAACAACTTAAATCTCAAAACGCTTTTTCCAAGTTTCAACCAATTCTACTTACACACACAGTCAAAAGATACACTGAAGACAGGTGGTTATTGTGAAGTAACTCAAAACCAATTTCTACCAAGTAACCTTTGATAAGCCTGATGAGTTTAGGAGCTAATATCGATGTAGAATTTTTTGCTTGTTTTTCTAAAGATATGGTACAGACCTAATGAGCATAACAGCACTTGCTTTATTCATCGTCGGGATTAAGACAAAATCATTTTGCATCAATATTGAGTTTTATAACTTACAAGTTCTCTCCTTAACTATGGGATTGCTGCAGATGTTAACACAGTTTGTCCATACAGATCAGGCAGTCTTGTTAGTCCAGGGAATGGGACAAAACAGAACATTACTACAGGATTTGATTTTATAATGTGTAAAGTGTTACATCTCTCCAGAAAATTCACTCAATGGCTGGCTCTACTACTTCTTAAATCTGGAAGTGAAATTTCAGCCAAAAAAGGTAACAATGCATCCATGCAACTGCCGTAGTACACACTACAGAAGGTGCAAATTTTCAGAAAACTAAGAAATATACCTCTGGATTGAATCCTTAGTTATGGTAACCCATAGGTAAGACAGTACAAATGGGTCTGTATTTACCCCTTAGTTCCTTTAAAAGGGGTCTGTACAGATTCTAAAAAACCAGGAACAAGTAGCAAACTTCATTATCATACAGGATTTATTTCAGGCTGCATTTGTGAAATTCAGTAAAATCTGCCTCCATTGAAGTTTTCATCAGGTAAGTGCATGCCTTTTATAACATTTTCTACCAAGAAAAGAAGGAACACAACTCTCATCTATAGAGCATGAACAGCTGGAGTTTAAATAATTGCCATTTTCCCAGCCTTTGAAGTCCTGTGATACTGCTTACTTACCACAGTTGTGACGTATATTTTTATTACTCTGCTCAGCTCCTACAGCAAGCACTGTCTAATCATATGATAAGTTTTCCCCCTTTATCAGCTAATTATAATCCTCTCATTCCTTATCACTTCTCTATGGGGAGAAGTCTACCACCACCACAGGTTCCTGCATGCCAGTACAGGCTGCTGCAGCACATAACACCTTATGTGCAGTTAAGTCATTGTGACAGAAACTGAGTTGCTGGTCTCCCTAACCGTTACATCATAGAACTTGACTTAAAAAAAAAAACACCAAAAAAACCCCACACTGTCCTTGATAGCAAGAGATCTATCATTACACTATTTAAAACCAAAATAGTCTGAAAAGCATTTGAACTCCCCTGATGAGGTCCTATCATTAAACCTGAAGCCTGTGTTGCTGTATCCCAAAGCTACACCCTCTGAAGTACTATTATTTCCTTGTAGCACAAGGCTGCAGCTCCACTCCCCTGTGCAGGAAGGCTACATGTTCGTTCAGCCAGTCAATATTACCTTACATGTGTTAAAAAAGGAAACCCCCTAGTCAAATTAAAAAAGGCTAATAGTTATCTGTCTTTAAATCACTTCATGCTCATAGTTGGTAATCCTGTTTAAAAAGTGGCAGAACTTTAAAAAAATAAGAATAAAAAAGGGAGGAACACATTTAATATAGTCAGCATGAAAATCCCACCGACATCTTAGCTGCTCTTCTTACTGCTCAAAGTGAGAAGGGGCTAAAGGTTCTAATCCCAAGTAACATTCAAACAGGTAGTCCTAAAATTTTCAAGCAACATTTCTAAGTTAACTGCTCAGCAGTATCCCCTGAACTCAGTCACCAGTTGGCTTTTTCTAAATCCCTATCAGTAAGTATATGAAAACAGGAAGAACAACCACAAACATACCACAAGATGATATAATAATTTCTGATACTTTCCTCCCTCTTATTACCAGACTGTAAATTTCACTGCCCTAGAAGGGGATACTTAACCCAGCACCTGGGCAACAACTTCTCTGTGACGCTTCTTACAACCAGGATGAATATGCTCTGGTAGCAACTCCAAAAGAAACAGCCTTACTTAATACAGAAGCAGAATGACACTCCAGCTTTCACAAGTCCTTCTCCTAGCACACACATTCTTCTGCTCCCTCAGTCTACTGGAGATAAGCATGTGACAATGCTACAGAGACAATACAGGACAGAGTGTTTCTGCTTTAATTTCACATCTACACACAGATGAATGCAGATAATGCTCAAGACAAGACTTACAAACCCTTGCAATTAAAGTAGCAAAGTCTTCTGCAATGAAGACTTCATCAATACCTAGAAGAACAGCATAATTGTAGAATCTTTACACTGATCAACAGTGCTTTCACATGCATGTCAGCAGAGTTTTACACTGTTACATTTTCCTTATCATTTGGGGGGGGGGAGGGGGGAGAGGAGGAATCTTTTACTCCAGTTCAGTTGTTTCCAAGAGTAGGTCAAAGAAATGTTTTGCTCAGGTTGTCAGTATTTAATTTCTGTAGAATGCTTGCAATATTCTGCTTTGGAACCCAAATTTGAAGCAGAAAGATTCACAAGCTTGGAACCATCCATGAGCATTTGGAAGGAAGGAAAGAACCAAACCTTGTTTTCATACATAGTCAAGATCTCATTTGAGAGATCTAGATCACTGGAAGAGATTGCCCTGTGGGAGCATGCTACAACTTCTGTTTACTTTAACATTGTACCTTTTTTCTTCAATCAAATTATCACCACCTGCTTTCATGAATCAGATTCAGTCACCAGTTGCAGTAAAAAACACTGAGTTGAACAAGTGGGGGAAGACAGAAGGAAAACATTCAATGCCTATTTCATCCTCAAGCATTGTTTGCTTCGCTGTTTTAATGAGACCTGATCTCAAAAGCAAACAAGTCTAGTTCCAATTAAGTTGATTATATAGCAAGCTCCTTTACATCCATCTCCTACACATCTACTCTTTAACTAAGCAGCTTAGAAATAATGTTCTGTTTCCAATAATTAACAACAAAACACCAGCAACAGAAAAATAAGCTTTTATATACTCTGCTCCAGTAGGCATTAGAACCTAGAACAATGTTTCATTAAATAAAAATAGTGACATACAAACACGACATTGTTTTCCTGCTGCATCTCTCTGAATTTATCTAAGAGCCATAGTCTAACTGATGATTTGTCATGTGTTTCCATTAAATGGACAGGAGAAAGAAATAGTATGCCAACTGTTTCATTCTGCCCCAAAAGCAATACAAAACACAGGTGATCCTATCCCACAATAAGTAGAGATCATAGAAGAGTTTCCCAGAGCCTTGTCACACTTTTACTTATAGCAAGAAAAATACTGTACTGACAGAACAACTGAATACCCTGATAAGTCCCTTCATTTATAAAAACTTAATTCTTTCATATTATGATTTCCAGCAAAACGTGATGCAACACACTTCAGAAGTGTATTGTATATCTCCAGCCTCAAACAAGTATGAAACATGCTTTGATGTTTTCATATCAAAAAATATGACAGTGCATTGAAAGTCAGTTTTCTCCAACACAACCTTTAACCACCCTCAAAGTAGGAGAACATTAAATAAAGCTTTAACAAGTGAAACTGTCTGGTTCTAGCCTTTCCCTGCAGGATTTCATTATACCAAAATACACCAAATCTTAATGGAACATTATACTAATGCAACATTCACAAGTGAAGCCACTTATTTTTTGTTTCCCAGAATGTAATCTTTATCTTGCACATCTATTTCAGGGATTACTAATCACTGCAAGCAATCTACTTCACAAGAAGTTGTGCACCTTTTGATCACTGAAGATCAAAGAACATAGCATCTTGGAGTCAGCACACTTAAAAGAAAAGGACATAGGTCAAAGAAATAGAAGTTTGGCCTCACAGCTTCATTTAAAAGAAAGTGACTATCCTACTGCAGAATATATCAGTTGGACAGGTAAATCTGCTAAATCAAATTCTTAGCATTAAGGAAAGCACTTCCGTTGCCTGAAAAGGCCATTAGGGCCATCTGTTTCATGGCCTCTTTTAAGTAGCTTAGGTTCCAGTGTCAGCAATAAGCAGCATAATATGGCATCCAAATTGGATTATCCATACGCATCCTGTAAGTAGGATTAGAGCGCCTGGAAGCCCACCTCCAAGTACTTCTTGCTGTGCCAGGAGCTAGTACAAGCAGTAGAGTGCTCAGAAGTTCATGCAGGCCTCAGACTTATGAAAGAGTTCAAGACATCTGTGATGCAACAAGATCTCCAATATAAATGACAGGACATTCAAAAAGCTTCCACTGAGATAGAAGCAGAAAAAAAATGGTTCTGTAAGAAACAGCTGAGCTTGGCTTCCTATGGCTTTGTGTTGAGCTGTACTGCACTCTGAAGTTTACCAAGGGGCAACTTTAATGTTGCAATATTAGAGCCCTCCTTCCATTTACTTGTTTTGAGGATACAGTAACAGCTTAATATCTTCAAAATGTCTCCCTCAAACCAGGCAAGTTCTGGACCTGGACTGACAGACAAGACTCACAATGTGATTGTACTACCCTTGCTTTTTGCAGAGGGCAAACTAAAACAATATTAAATGAGCAACTGTTAACTACATTTATTTCAGGATTCTGAAGTCATGTATTAAAAAAATACCATCACCACAACAAAGAACCACATATCACTATCACTTCACCTAATTGAAATGGAAGATAGCAAGAGCAATTTCAAAGTCTTCCATCACCATAAAGTAACTGTTCCGATTTGTGCTATCGTAAGTATAAGTTCTGGAAGCAGTGTTTAAGTAAACAAATTTCTTCAGTGCAACGAACTAGCACATACAAATAAACAAAAACGTAAATACAAGGAGTAGCTGAACATAGGCAATAGTGTTACTCTCTAGGTCTCAAGGGAATATAGCCGTCCCTGTTCTTCACTGGCCTTCACATTTTGAAACACTTAGAAGTCAAACACATTTAGATAAATATTATGCTAAAAATGGAAGAA